CTCATCACCCAATGGATTACCAAGCTTTCCAAGGCTACATCCACATTGTTGAATAGCACATCTTTCCCCACTCTCTGCAATGCTCTCTTTTACAAATCAAATGTCCATACATGTGTGAGTCTGATTCTGGGCTTTCTGTTCTGCACTGGTAGTTTAGCTGTGCACAAATGGCACATTATTTTGATTACTAATTTTTTCTTTTTTGTTCTTTTATTCTTGCTTTTTTTCTTTTTCTTTCTTCCCTTTATTCCTCTCCACCCTGCACCCCTCTCCCACCAGCATCCCCACCTTAGTTCATGTCCATGGGTCACATATATAAGTTCTTTGGCTTCTACATTTCCTACACTATTCTTAACCTCCCCCTGACTATTTTTACCTACCATTTATGCTTTTTATTTCATGTACTTTTCCCTAATTCTCCCTGCTCCACCACCCTGCTGCTAACCCTTCATGTGATCTCCATTTCTGTGAATCTGTTCCTGTTCTAGTTGTTTGTTTAGTTTGTTTCTGTTTTTCTTTTTTTAGGTTTGATTGTTGACAGCTGTGAGTTTGTTGTCATTTTACTGTTCATAGTTTTGATCTTATTATTTTTCTTAATAAATCCCTTTAACATTTCATATAATAAGAGCTTGGTGATGATGAACTCTTTTAACTTGACCTTATCTGGGAAGCACTTTATCTGCCCTTCCATTATAAATGACAGCTTTGCTGGATAGAGTAATCTTGGATGAGGTCCTTGCCTTTCATGTCTTTGAATACTTCTTTCCAGCCCCTTCTTGCCTGCAAGGTTTCTTTTGAGAAATCAGCTCATAGTCTTATGAGAACACCTTTGTAGGTAAGTGTCTCTTTTTCTCTTGCTGCTTTTAAGATCCTTTCCTTATCTTTCATCTTGCGTAGTGTAATTATGATGTGCCTTGGTGTTTTACTCCTTGGGTCCAGCTTCTTTGGGGCTCTCTGAACTTCCTGGAAGTCTGTTTCCTTTGCCAGATTAGGGAAGTTGTCTTTCACTATTTTTTCAAATATGTTTTCAATTTCTTGCTCTTCCTCTTCTCCTTCTGGCACCCCTATAATTCAGATGTTGGAATGTTTAAAGTTGTCCTGGAGATTCCTAAGCCTCTCCTCGTGTTTTTGAATTCTTGTTTCTTCATTCTGTTCTGGTTGAATGTTTATTTCTTCCTTCTGGTGAAAAGTGTTGATGTGAGTCCCGGTTTCCTTCTCTTCACCATTAATTCCCTCCACATTTCTCTTCATTTCACTTTTCATAGCCTTCATTTTTTTCCTCTAATTTGCAACCATACTCAGCCATTTCTGTGAGCATCCTGATTACCAGTGTTTTGAACTCTGCATCTGATAGTCTATCTCTTCATAGCTTAGTTTTATTTTTGGAGTTTTGATCTGCTCTTTCATTTGGGCTATATTTCTTTGTGTTGGCACTTCTGTTATGTTATGGAGGGTGAAGCCTTAGGTATCTGCCAGGGTGGGACAATCCACCTCACTACATTGTGACAAAATCTGAATGTTACATTGGTTGTCAGACTTCTCCATAGTTTGATTTTCTGACAGTTCTGGTTATTTTTTGTTTTTAAATTTATTGTCCTTTTGGTTGTGAGAGGAGGCCTATTTTGATTACTACTGATATCTGATAGAACAAATTCCATGCCTTGTTGATCTTCAGGAATGTTGGGTTGTTCTTTCATATAAATTTTAGAACAAGTTTGTCATATCACACAAAGATATATTTTTCAAGTATTTTTAAGAGTTGTATTAAATTTACAGAAGAATTTAGGGGTTTTAACTTCTTTTTCATTCAGAGTCTTCTAATCTATTAACACAGTAAAATTTCCATTGGTTAATGTCTTTTTTAATGTCTTCCAATAGTATGTTTCCTAATGTAGTCCACGAAGAGCTTGCACAATATTTTAAAATTTTTATTTCAAAGCACTTTGGATTTTGCGTACAGCTGTAGGTCATTTTTTCATTAGACTTCATTCTTCTTACTGTTACTGACATGTAGAAATACAATTGACACACACAGTCATGCACACAGATTTTCTACACAACCTTGCTAAGTTCTTATTAATTCTAATAGTTTATAGACTCTTTTGAATTTTTCACTTAGACAATCATGTTAACTACAAATAATGGGAGTTTCATATTTTCTGTGATAAACTTTCTTTCTTTCTTTCTTTCTTTCTTTCTTTCTTTCTTTCTTTCTTTCTTTCTTTCTTTCTTTTCTTTTTTTGTCTTGTCATACCTGCAAGGAAGCCAGTATAACACTGAAAGGAGTGATGAGAGCAAGCAGCTTTGTCTGGTTTTGGGATGCTGTCTCCACAGGTGAATTCAGTTTGTGGAAATTTACCTGGCTGTGTTCTTATGATTTCTGCATTTTTTCAAACACTATGTTATACTTCAGTAAAAAAGGTTTTTTTAATTTTATTTAGGAATATTTCCTGAACACCCTAACCTTTTTTTAGGTTTATTTACTTTATTTTTTAAATAGTTTGTATTTTTCAGTTACAGTTGATCTAACATTTTCTTATAACTGTATGCTGTAAGGGTGTCACTGAGCAGGTTTGTACCTGTCTATTTTCAACCTGACTATACATTACTGGAGAAAACAAGTCATAAGTGAGAACACAGACAGATACTTTCATGCATTTCAAGAACTAGCAGGGAGAGGGGGTCCGGGCATAGTCTCAGCAGTCCCTGAGGGCAAAACGGGGATTGGAGATGAAAATACAGGGAAACAGGTTTCCATAAGGAATGAAAAAGCTTTTAACATCATTGTTTTCTAACCACAGAATAGTCTGCTTTTTGAAAAAGTGAGCTCCCCAGTACTAGAGTATTCTAGCAGGACTGGATACAGACCCGTGAAGGATACTATGCAGGGCCATCTTCTCTCCCCAGTAGTGGGTGGGGTGTGGTGGTGTCCGCTGTCTTCCAGCTCCAAGATTTGAGATTTTTAAAGAATTGGGTTGATTTCCTATCCCACTTACCCCACTTTTAGAGGGTGTTCTATGAACTCCTCTCATAATACTTAAAAAACTAACTTTACAGAGAAAAGTCAAAGACAAAACAGGTTCTTTGAAAATGTTAATAATATTGATAAACTCCTATCAAGCTTGATCAAGAAACAAAAATATTACATTCAAATTCCTTTTGTTCAGAAACACACAACAAATAACATAATTGGTGTGCATCCAACAATCATTGAATAAAAGTGTAGTTATCCCTTTTTTTCATCCTCAATTCCCTAAATATTGCATTTTTGAACTGTCTAGCTTTGTATCTCAGTGCTCTATAATCTTTTCAAATAACGGACAAAGTGATTCTGTCACTCATCACTTTGAAATTCAGTAAAAAAAGAAACTGTGTAATGGAGTTGATGTGTCTGTAAAATAAATAATTTTGAACAAAGTGAATGAAATTTTAAAGCTTTTTATGAGATAAGTGATAATTCTGAGTTTGTAGTTTGCTTTATTTTTACTTTCATTCAGTTAAGCTCCTTTCTAGGAAGTCTCCAGTTTTTTTGGCAGATAAAAATACATTCTCAGAGTCTCCCAGAAGATGAGCCATCAGCCTCATTAGATTAGAAGGAAGCCTCATTTTCTTATGCTGCAGTACAAATGTCTTCCTTCTCCACCCTTCCGCTCCGTCCCCACCCCCCCTTCCTCTGTGCCCACCTCCACCCGGGTCGGGCTACCCAGGTTAAAGTCTTTTTCATTCTTGGTTCTCAGAGAAAATCTGGAGTCCAGACAGGATTCAGCCCAGAGACGGCGACCCCTTGAGGGCAGACCCGGAGGCAACACATGTCTGTTGCCTCCGCAGTCTACAGAGAGCTGCGCCTCTTCTACATGCACCGGTGGCACGCCTGGGGAGACAAGAAATCCGTTACCGGGCGGCTGTGTCCCTAAGGGCTATTCCAGGGCGGAAGAAGACGGGGAAACCGCTGTGTACTTTCCCAGGTCTGTGGGCTGGGCGCTCAGTGGCTCAGGTTACAGACAGGTGAGTCTGGCGGGTGGGCGAGCTGAGGGCGCCAGGGAACCCCTGGGCAGACGCACCCCAGCAGTCCCTGGAGCTGGCACACGTCTGACTACCACCTGAAGAGGTGTGCCAACCGCCGCGGTGGAGGCAGTGCTGTGCTTCCCTGGACGCACCGGAGCAGGGGCCGTGGGAGGGTAGTGAATTCCCCAACGCGGGCTGACTGCTCCTAGAAACTTGATATTTTTTGTGTCTCCCTCTCCCCTCCAGGTATAAAGGAAGATAGGAAAATCCAACATCGAAAAATAAATACGAACTCTCCAGCCACCCCCGCAGTTGGGGCAGTTAGGGGATGTAGCCATCTTTATTGGCTTCCTGAAAATGTATTTCCCAGCCTCAGAATTTGGGGAGCACACAGTTAAAGGAGGCTATCATGGCAGTGGGCGAGGAAAAGAAATTCATTTCCAAGCTGCGTTTGAATAACATGCACTTGACTTTTATTTCCATTGTGCTAAAATGTGTGTTGATGGTGCTCTTGGGGTGCAAGGTCTTGGGGTGGAAGCTGCTTTGGTGGAACAAGCTGACTTGTTTTTCTCTCCTTGTATGGCACGAACTAACAATGTGTTCTAAAGATGCTGAATTTTTTAGCTTAATTAGTATTACTGTGTTTATTTGGGGGGACTATTGTAGTTGCTGGGTGTTTAAACCCCCCAAATTCCCCTTTACCAGATCACCGTCCCGGGGCCTCTCCCCACAACCTCTCCCTTCTGCCCGCCAAGATTTCAACAAGCCCCGGGAACGAGCCACAAGGTCCAGAGGAACTGAGCCATTTTCTGACTTGCTTGTGGGAGACAAAAAACTCTCGGGGGGCGGTGGGGGAGGGCATTCCCAAGAGGACCCAGCTCTCAGGAGGGATGGGAAACTGACCTGGGGGTTACCTGAGAGTTCGCGCACGAGGCATTTGCGATGGGGAATGGCACTGGGGATTGATCAAAAAACGTTCTTCTTTTTTAAAAAAAGGGGAGGGGGAGAATCAGACGTAAATTCTTTTGCAAACATTCATGCCTAAGGAAGGGCTGGAACAAGCAGCTGCGGCCGCCGGAACCGGTCGGACAGGTAGCGAGCTTGTTGACACCGTTATGTTGCAGGGCGCATGCTCACTCCCAAGTTTCCTGGTGCCTTTTCTATTCCACCTTATGAAACTTTTTCCTTGGTGTGGTCTCACCCACGGTTTAAGACATAGGTGTCGCCGAGCCTGGAAGCTGGGAGTCTCCCGAAGTTCGCGAGAGAGGCCGGGGCCCCGCTGCGGCAGGGGGCGGAGGGAGAGGCCAGCTAGGCGGGAAGGTGGGCTCTGGCCGCCAGAAGCCGGGGACCCAGCCATCGCCGCCGCCCATAGGGGGGAGCAGCCGGGAAGAGGGGGCTGCAGTCTGGGGAGGGGCCCCGCAATGCCCAAAGTCTTCCTGGTAAAGAGGAGGAGCCCGGGGGTCTCGGTCCGCAACTGGAATGAGCTCCCGGACGAGGAAAGGGCAGACACCTACATCCCAGGTGAGCACGGCGCGGGGGCAGGGCCTGGGCGCGGGGCTCTTGGGGTGCAGGCAGAGGTGACCGGGTCCCCGCTGCTCACTGGCTGGGGCTGGACTCCCCAACCCCTGCTTCTCTTCCAGTGGGTAGTAGGACATCTCTGAGGCGCGCAAAGACCGGGAGTGAGAGGCTGGGAACACCGGGGCATCGTGCTCCCCTTTCCCCCTAATGGGTGTCTCTAATTGCCCGGCCGCTGGACCGTTGGCTGCAACCTGGGCCCAGGTGGCCCAGGAAGGGGGTGGGCTTGAAGGCCAGTAGAGGCTACCTCCAGTCCACGTCGTCATGGGGTTGCACAGGATCCGTGTTCCCCCCTCTGGGGCTGGGTGGGTAGGTGCCAGACCCCTCCACTCCCAACCCAGGGAGAGGAAACTTGGTGCGGGGGAGTTCCTCAGTTCCTCATGGGCTCGAGGACGGGGACTGAGGATCGGCCCCTAGAACCCCGAGCTCACTCGTGAGGCTGAGCCGTGGGTTCACTCGCCTACCCCTCGGCGTTGCCCACTTGGCGAAATGCCCAGGTTCGGGGCAGGGCGGCAGTGGCCCCGCCCGAAGGTCAAACTAACACGGGCGCCGGGGCCTGACGCCGCGTGTCTGCATGTTACGGCTCGGCCCCTCACTCCCTCACTCCGCAGTGGGCTTGGGCCGTCTGTCCTGCGACCCCCCGGAGGACTGCCGCAGCGACGGTGGCAGCAGCAGCGCCGGGGAGCCTGGAAGCACCGAGAGCAATTCTTCCCCTCGCGCCCCCGAGCACGAAATCCTGGCGCCTGGAGACGCAGAGAGCCACGGTGGACACCTGGCGGCGAAGCAGCGCCCGGTCGCCAGGTCGAAAATCAAGGTACGGTGCCTACTCTGCCCCAGCCGCCACCTGCACCACACCCTGGCGTGGGGCGCCCTTCCCTGACGCGTCCGCGTACGCGTCACGCCTCTGCGGGCACAGAGGCACGCAGCTCACCCGCAGCGCAGTTCCTGCACTTGCCCCTGGGCGGTGGCCAGGACACCTCCCCGGGTGCTCCCGCTGATAGGGAGCCAGAGGACTGCGCCGCTAGGCCCCAGTGGCAAGCTTCCCGAGTGGTCACAGTGCACCTGGTGGCCTCTGGAACTACCTGAAAGGCTCGGGCGAAACTTCCTCCCATTCAATGTGCAAGGCGCTAGGAATAATTAGGCCGCCGGGGTTTCAGTGGTTGGAAAGGAGAGATCCAGACACCCGGAACTCCACCCGCTGAGGCACAATGTCGAGCGCTACGTGGCTTCTGAACATCATACCCTTTCTTGAGTTTTGGAGACAGTGGTGGCAGTTGGGCACACAGTGGACCTCTCACAATGACAGTGATTCCCAGTGCCAATTATGGAGTGAGTGCCCGTTAGAAAAGAGGTCTATGTTGGGCACTTTAAATTTGTTCCGTCTCTCAAATTTTCTTGAATTAAAATAATGAATAAACGAGTTCAACTGCAAATTGCCTCAGTGCCGCGTCCCAGTGGGTTGGAGAGTTTGTACCCCTCTGTCATCACGCTTCAGTCTCCTCCTGTCGCCCCCCACCCCCAGTCTTGTAGGTTATATCTTATCTGGAAGCCCACCTTTGCTTCCATTATTGCCTGCTCAAAGGTATCCGCTACCCCCTAGGTTAAGGAATCCCATTCCACGCACAGCCAGATGGAGTCAGGGAGTGGTGTTTTAAGAATCACATAAACCCAGTTCCTAGCCGGATGAGCCAGAAGGCCCTCGGTGTAGGTGATAATTCTTGGGCGTTCCTTCAGTCCCACTGCCGGGGATTGCGGGAGGGGGCGGGGGAGGATGAGGAGGAACCCTAGCGTTTGCTACCGATTGGGAAAGCTTCTGCTACTTTCCCCTCCAGTGGCTGGCTCTCCCCTATGCATAACTTCTGGCTCCAAGGGCTTGGCCGGGGGCGGGGGGGGGGCCCGGTTGGGGAAGATACCTAGTGTTTGCTGTGTTTTAGGAAAGTCTCCGTTACTTTTCCTGGGAGAAACCCTAGGCATAGTTCTGATTCCTTGCACCTAGGGCTTGGCTGGAGGTGGGCTGGAGTTCATTTGGTTATGAATTGAGGCTAGAGGCCAGAGCTGGAATCCTTAGGGAAGACATCTTTAGAGGATGTCCCGGCTAAGGCATGCTATTTAGTGTTAAGGGTTCTGCTGAGATTCAAAGTCAGCTAGCCTGAGGTTTTTGTGGACCAGATGGGGTTAAGTGGGAGGGCTCAGTTTGCCTGAGGCTGGTAGTTCTACCCTCCAGGAAATTCTAGTGTCCTACTTGCATATTTATCACCAGGATGGAAGGACAATTGCCACGTTGTTTTGAAATGGATTGTAGACAGTTTGCCCTTGGATGCCCAGATTTACCCTCTAGAGAAAGTGGTAGAGGAAAAAATCAAAGCGCTTTCTTTGCTACCCCAGGCAAACAACGCCCTTGGATCCCTGACTTAAGGGAATGAATAAACCGATTTTATTTCATTGATTCCTGCCTATGTGCTTTCCCAGGGATGGGGGTGGAGCATAGATTTTGCCCCTCAACTGTTAACACAGTTTACTGAGGAGGACAGTCAGGTTCCCCCTCCCTCTCAGCTTTCACCCACAAATAGGAGACATCTTGGTGTTAAGATGCTTTGAGCCTCCAGAATTATTAATTGTGATATTGTCCATTTTCAACTGACAGGCCAAATTGCTCATGATTTACCATGTTCTGTAACTCTAGAGTTCTATGCAAAGCATTAGTATTCTGACCAGAAGATGTCAAAAGCTTCTCAAGGATGAGGCCCATAGATGATACATTATTTTAATGACTTATTTTCAATGACTTGAGGACACTTTGCATTTGGCCACTAGGTCCAGAGGAAGGGCAAGTATGACCTGCAGAGAGAAGCAACATCCCGTCTAACAGTATGGAGTACCTGCTGTGTACCAGGCAGTTGGGAGATAAAAATTCTCCCACCTTCGTGTTCCAGAATCTTTGGACAGTAATTCTTAAGCCTCTGGGCTCTGGCTTGGTCACTTCTTAGCTGTGTAACCTTGGGCAAATTGCTAATCCCTTTGGGCCTCAGTTTCCTTGTCTTTAAAAAGGGGATAATAATGATAGTTATAGAGTTGTGAGGATAAATATGTTAAGAGTGGAAGGTGTAGGGATCCAGGAACTCTAGCTAGAATGATTTGGGCTGGTGGGAAGACTCAAATATTTATTAACTGTACTGTGGGAATGTGAATGCTAATGCAGAAGCACAAGCAAAGATGTGATAAATTCTGAGTGGAGCAAGGTTTTTTAGTGTGGATTTGAGGCCTATGGAGAAGAGGAGAAGCAGGCTTTTCCCCTTAAGGTGGTATGGGCACAGCCCAAAACTTGAGTAAGGAAACAACTCTGCTATGGTGGCTGTGGTGAGAAACTGCTAGGATCAGAGAAAGTTGGAGAAGCTCAAAATGTAATTAGTACAGGGTGGGATGGTAAAGAGCTAAGCTAAGGAGTGTGGAAGTTCCCTTGGGGTGGGGGAGGGGCTCTGAAAGGTTTTTGAGGAGGAAAACCTCAGTTAGGTGTATCTTATCAGCTGTGGTTCAGGATTTGCGACCTGTTCTGGGTCTCAGTTAACTGATGTGTAAAATGGAGACGTAATAGAATTAGCCTCTCAGAAATGTTGTGTAAATTGAAGGAGCTAATGGGTGCAAAAATGTTTAAAATTTTTTGTGCATGTATATACTGCCCAATAGGGGGTTAGCCAACAATGACTTATAGCAGTATTTTGTTGCCTACAGTAGGGATAAGGGATTTGCTAACCAGATTGTGCTGATCTGGAGAGGAGTCATAGGTGCCAGTTAAGAAGTGCTTTTTCCTAGCCTAGCTATCTTTTGACCACGTGCCTTAGGGTAGGTTATAAAATTGTTTCTTTACTGCTGAGGATTCTGTAATTTATAAAACAGATTGCAGTGGGGAGTTGATGTACCTCTGGGAAAATATTCATGCCAGAGGTTTAGGTCACTTTAAGTCCCTTTTATGCTGGCCTCACTTGCAGGTCTGCAGCTGTGGGGTAGAGACACCCCCCTCCAACCTCAATCACCATTGTCCTTACAAAGCTTATCAGAAACAAAGTATTTCTGGAGTTAAGTTATTTAGTTGACTGATGTTATTTATTCTTGACTCAGAGTGGCTGGTGTGTCTCAGGTGTAAGTGTGGATCAGGAAGTGAATGTCTTCTTACCTCATCCCATTCTTTTCTCTCTTCTTTGGGTTTTTCCCAAGTGTTCTTCAAAAGAATTGAGTTTAGAATTCCTTCAAAAGTATTCTTGGCCTTTTACCTGACTCCATAGGCTGAGTTTCTAGTAGTGATGGATGTGTGAATGTGGAGTAGTCTTTTTCTTGCTCCATCATTTTTTATTATGATTTTCAAAAGCAGAGTACCTGTCACCTGGCTCCAATAACAATGAACCCATGGCCAGTCCTGCCCATCTTTCCCCCATCCACCCCCTGGTACTATTTTGAGACGAATTTCAGCCATCATAATATTTTAGAATGTATCTCTAATAGATAAAGAACCAAAATACATTATTCTATTCATATTAACAATACTGTTCACATTACTAATTGTCTCATAAATGCATACTTTTTTTTTCACTTTACTGAATCAGGTCCACATAATGTCCACACATTGTAATTGATTGATATGTCTTTCAAGTATTTTAATTTATATATATTTTTCTCCCTCTGTCTTAGTTAATTGCTGAAGAGATGGCTAATTTGTTTTGCAGAGTTTCCAGCAATCTGGATTTTGCAGAATGCATCACTGTGGTGTCTAACACTTTTTACTCCCCTAGGTTTTCTTTAAATGGTAGTTGGATCTGTAGCTGCACTCTCCAAAATGGTAGCCATAGTCACATGTAACTACTTTAATTTACATTAAATTAAACTAAAAATTAAATTCTTTAGTTGCATGATCCATATTTCAAGTGCTCAGTAGCCATGTGTGATTAGTGCCTGCTGTATTATACAATGCAGATTAGAACATACCTGTCATCACAGAAAGTTCTATTGGATAACTAGATGCTTGATTGGGTTTATTTTAGCTAAAATCTGTCACAGTGGGTGGTATCTATTTCCATCAAGAGGTACATAATGTTTGGTTGTCTCTTTGTGATGGTAGCAACTATTGATACTCAAGGTCTAAATGTTTTAGGTTATTAGGGTTTGCAGAACAGTAATATGTTAATTCTGTCCCTTATTTATTAAGGGATTGCTGAAATTCTTCTATAGGGAGATACTTCCCATTCTCTACTATTTGGTTTCCCAGTGAGACAGTTCATTTAGGAAAGGTAAAATAAGATTCCCTTTATTTACTAGTTTTCAGGATAATCAGTTGGTTTACCAGAATTCTCTAGTGGTGGCCAATTGGTTTATTTTTAAATATTGTTGTGAATCATGGATTTAAGTATTTTATAAAAACACATCCATTTGCTATTTGGAAGGGAACATAAGCACTATCCCTACTTGTCTTCCGTTTCCCAAGACAGAACTGGATGCCTCTCTTCCTGCCTCCATTGTAGGACACTGATCATCTCCTTAACTGTACATTTGGCTGACCTGACTCCTCTTGATCTCAAAACACCAAAGGCAGGGAGAAAGCCCTATTGGGCTTGTCTCTTCAGCACCTGGCACAGCAGTGCCTGACTCATAGGGGGACATACGTCAACACAGAACAGAAGGACAGGCAGGGAAGAAGGAGTCAACAGTCTATAGATGTAAGTGATAACATTTGGAGGAAAATAGGAAACAAAAAGAAAAGGGAGATCTGGGGGAAATGCTTAGAATGGATCTCAAAAAAGTTTCATTTAAAGGCAAAAAAACAAG